TGTTAAGTAAATTTCCTTTTTGCTAATCCTTCAATGGTCTACAAGTGTCTCATTTTGTTTGGTGACCAGGCCTGAGCCATCAGACCAGCCTGAGTCAGGCAGGGCCCAGGATGGGGTGCCTGCTTGATAATTGATTGATTGAGCAACACTGTCAAAAGCTACAGAGGAGTCAAAGAGGATAAAAACTAGGGGGAAAGGAGCATTGGACCTGGCTTTTAGGAACACACTGGTGACCTTAAAGAGAATTGTTTCAGCACAGTAGTCAGAGGCAGAAGCCTGGAAGCAAAGAATTGAAGAGAGAACCTGTATGATGTTGTCTTACAAGATTTTCATGGAAATCAAAGGAGATAATATATCAAGCGCTAAGTAAATCTTGAAGCATTATGTAAATATCAGCTCTTATTATGATGAATTCATGGCAGATAAATAACATGGAATGGAAACACAACTTCTAATATTTGTTGATTTATAAAAATTGATTCATGATATTTAAAGGAAAGTTGAATATTGAATGTTTTATGTTGGGCAATAACCTCAATTAAGTTGCTTTTCATTTATATATGTCCCTAGATTAATTTGTCTGTGATATTTTTTGTTCGGCAGTGGTCCTCTACTAAAGTCGCATTCTGATGAATTCTTGTGGTGTGGGGGTGATGATCGAGTAAACTGGCTTTCTCAGTGGAGTGTGAGCTCTGCTAGGTGCTATGAAACTGGAAAGGCTTTGGGTAAGGGCCTGTTGATGGACTGAATGTTGGTAGACCAGCCTAGCTTAGTCTTCAGAGGTCTACAAAATGGGGCGGTTGGCCTAACTGGTTTCTGAGGTCCCTTTCAGCTTTGGGTCTAAAAGCCTATGATCACCAGATGGCAATGTTTTCAGCCGGAGCAATTCCTGAATGCCAACATTTAGTGTAGTGCACACATAGTAAGTGCTTAATAAATGATTATTGACTGACTCTCTACTAAGTTGTTTTTTGGGGTTTTTTGGAGGGGAAGGGAAACAATTGGAGTTAAGTAACTTGCCTGTAAGTGTCTGAGGTCAGATTTGAGCTCAGGTCCTCATGACTCCAGGGCTGGTACCCTATCCACTGTGCCATCTAGCTGGCTCTCCTCTACTAAGTTATAAGAGGGGCTGTGATGAATCCATGTTGGGAGTGCTCACATCAATGAAATTACACATTCTTGAAATTACTGAGTAAAGGAAGATCAGGGACCAGTGACAGAAAAAAAAACACTTAGTGTATTTTATATGATAGCAGCAGTAATTTAGGAGTTTTGTAAGTTTTGTAAGGGGGGAGTACAAGAAATAAGGCACACACATCCCAGGCTGCTGCTTGGTGAGGGTAGGTGAGGATAGTAGGTAGGCATTCTCACAATTGTCCTACCTCAGGTGAGATGAATTAGGGAAGAAACTTTGGATCCCAGGTCCTTATTTCCTTACCTTAAAAATACCTAAGAAACCAAAGAGGAGAGGAGACCCAGGAGAAATCGTAGGAATTCCTGCCACTTGGGAAGCTTAGAATGCTTTGGGAAGCTGTAACCCATCCCAGCCACCTGCCTTCCTGATACAAGTCCAATTCTGTTAGCAGAAAGCATCGTGGAATAGTGCAAAAAGGTCAGAAGGCTGAAATATCCATTCTAGTACTTGTTGGGTATGTCACCCCAGGCACACCCATTACTTGCTCTGTGCCTCAGTTTCTCCAGCTATAGAGATGGGATAATAGTACTTGTGTTAGCTATCTTTGCAGGGTTGTTAGGAGGAAAATACTTGGTAAACCCTAAAGTGCTAAAGAAATGTGAGCTATTGTTGTTATCATTTTAAATAATATCAACAGTGCCTGGAATATGGTAGGCATTTAATAAGTGTTCATTGATTGATTGCTGCTGTAAAGGATGACCTCATAGGGAACAATTTTCCCCCTTGCTTTCCAATTGTTGTGAAGGATATAGGATCATAGATGAAGAGCTAAAAGGGACCTCAGAAGCCATCTATTCCAACCCCTTCACTTTACAGATGAGGAAATTGAGGCCCAGAGAGGTTAAATAACTTGCCCAAGGTCTCACAAGTATTAAATGACAGAGGTGTAGTTTAAACCCAGGTCCTCAGATCCAAATCCTGTGTTTACACAGTATCACACTACTTCTCAAGGATTTGCCTTAGAATTAGTTTCAAGTGTCCATTTTCTGATTCAGATTTTTTTTTCAGCCAGGAGGGAGCTATATATCTCAAACTAAAACTTTGCCCTTAGGCTAAAAAATAAGAAATAAAAAGGAATACTTAATTTTAGGCAGGAAGGGCTCTCCTCCAGCTTGACCCCATAGCTCCCCCTGTTTCCCTGTATTCTCCCTGGGCCAAGATCCTCTTGGTTTTCTACCCCAGGTTCATAGTTGAGGCTCCCTTGGAGACCAGGGCCAAGGTCAATTGCTATTTCTTCCAAGGCTATGAATCTACTTTTGTCAATAATGCTCTGTGCCAAAAACAGCTATTCTTTGATGATTGGTGCTGGTTGGAAGTAGGACATAGTCACACTCATACCTCTTGGTTTCTTGACTCTCAGCCTGCCAACCAGGTCAGTATGAAGGATCTTTCTCCGGAGACAGACTAAAAATGACTTTAAAACAGGCTCTGCTCTGTATTTAAATCACATTTCTCTCATCTTCTTAGAGAAGGGTCATTAGCCATACGCTTAAAATGAAGGTTTGAAGCATATGTTGGCCTATGTGGCAAGTTCCCCAGTGCTTATTTCTTTCTTCAACAGGAAAAGGACAGAGGCTTGATATTTTTTTTTTAGTCCAGATTTTCCCCTTCCCTAGGTTAAAGCCATTAGAAAATAATTTGCTAACTTATCATGGCATAGGATTCATACGTTAAATAAATACACATTGAATATAAGGGTTAAAGAGGAGGCTTATGAATTTTTATTCTATTTATAGACAATCAGGGCAAGTGCCTTTTTAGGGTTGTGAATAAGAAGTAACTGGGAATCCAAATCCCGTGGCCAGCAGGCTTCAATACAGAAAAGCTTCATGGAGAAGGCAGGATTCCAACAAGTGTGAATGATGAAAGAAAGATGGATTGATAATCTGTGAAGGGAAGAAAGTAATTCCAGGTGTATGAGGGCATCTACCATAGATAGGAGAGGGATGGCTAGGCAAAGGAGGGAGCAGTGAGCAAATAGGCCTCAGAGCTCAATGGCCAGTCCTTGCTGTAGGGAAGGTGAAGAAAGAAAGGAAAGAGCTTTGATACCAAAGAACATTGCCACAGGAGTCAAAGGATCTAGTTTTAAATTCTGTTTATGATACATTAACAATAGACCCTGGATAAGTCCCTTAACCTCTCTGGGTCTCCGTTTCCTCATCTGTGAAATGAGAGGATTAGAGTACATGGCTTCTGAGGTCTCTTCTAGCCCTAGATCCATAGGTCTATGTTCTTCCATTTGATCCCTGGTAGAAAGAGTGGAAAATAATATTTATTGTGTCAGCACTAAGAGTGTGGGAAGAAGTCCTGCAATGGTTCTGTGTTTTGCTGGGGGTGGGTGAAATTCTAAGCAAGAGGAGTTGAAATGGTTTAGACTTTAGTGATGAAAGTCTTACTTGTCATTTCAAGTACCCCCCTGTCACTCTATTTGAAAGTGGGTAGGGGGTTTAAAAAAAAGAAAATTCAAAAGCCACCTGAGCTTCCTCTGTCCCATCATTTAAACAATCTCACAGAAAAATTCTCTAAGGAGAATTAGGTATGATGCAGGTATACACAATTCTGTGTAGCAGACTGTGATTCATCACAGAAGTTAAGGCTTGCTCACTGGCTCCAAGGAAAGAAGGAAATGGAACCTGCTATATTTATCTTCCAGAGTTTTACCTCCAGCTGGGCTGATGTTGGCCTCTTCTTGGAACTATCTCTAGAGAATCCTGGCAGCTGACCTCATGGAGCTGCTGGGTGGTCGAGACAGTGGGAAAGGCACATTATCCTTCATCCACTAAGGAGAAGGCTTGAATCCTAAGTTCTCTAACTTGTAGGACATTCTGGGAGATCCTCACTCAGCTCCCTGATTTGTCCCATTAACCTCCTTCTTTCCTAGGTCTTGGTCAGCCTTCCTTCTACCGTTGTAGACTAATTTAAACATTTATCGTTCCTTCATATTTAGGTTTACCATTTCCTAATCTCCTGTCTACACTAGGGTTTCCAGATTCTTGTACAGATGCGTGCAGTGTCCTATACTGGACAACAAGCTACCAGGAGGACAGTACCAAATCTGGGCCATTCTTCTTGAATGCTTTCATATTCAGTTAGCCATGTAATAAGTACATTATGATGATGATGATGATATCAGATATACCTTCAGATCATAGATTTAGAGGCAGAAGAGACATTGTAAGTGGCTTTCTTACCCAGAAACCCCAAATAGGTATGGTCATGTACCTTCTCATTAGTGTATTGTTCTTCCATTGGAATACCACTTAAACGCAAAAACACATTGCCTTCCCTTCCTTTCCTTTCTTCCCCAGGGACATGACATTTCTCCAGCTGAAAGCTCTAGGTCACCCTTTCCCATTTCCACCCCCTTGCCCCTCAAAGACATAAGCACATACTACACATAGATGCATATCTACCAAGAGACTCACAGACAAATACTCTCAAAAGAGCAAATGAGAAGATAGATGAAAGGATATTTGGTTTGTTAAGTGGAAAAGAGAGCATATAGATGGGAGAGGAGGGAGGGGGAAGATTAAACCGGCAGGGAGAGCCTAGGAGAGCCTAGGTAAATAGCAGAAAAGAAGAGCTCTGGGGAAGTAACCACAGATTTAATAAAGTATATATTTTTTCTTTCTATTGTTAGCTTTCTTTGAGAGGAGAAAATCAACATTAGGTTTTCTTATTTTCTCTCTCAGCTGCACCATTTCCTTCTACCAAATGCTAGTGAAGGATCTTTGTCATCTCTGCCCTGAATCCTTCCCGCCCCCCCCCCCCAAGCAGGCACATCCACTTAAAACACACAATGTAATCTTTTTTATTTAATTGTTTAATCAGTTTACATTCCACAACTGACAGATTATTTATTATTTTTCCATGAACAAGTCATTTAATTAATTACCAGACACTTTTTTTTCTTCAATCGATGAAAATACAATATTTCTGCCAATTAAAAAAGAAAATTGCAAGATGCAGTCAGTTTTTCGGTGAAGTCCCAAAATGCTCTCTTCTTCCTCAGTCCTTTCAGAGTCGCAGGAACCTGACAATTTCCCTTTTCATTCCCCCCCTCCCACTTCCCTGTTAAATTGACTTTTCAGAATATCACAATAATTTAAAATCTGGTTCTGATCATCTTTCCTGTAATTAATTACGAGAAGGAACAGACAGTACAATAGATCTGATAAGATGTTGCATTCTTGGTAAGATTAAACAACACAATTATTCACATCATATCAGAACAAATTAACATAGTATTTAATCTTATTTTAGCACCAATAACCACAGGAATTTGCTATCTCCAAGGGTAGCAGAGATGTTAGAATCCTGCAGGACACACCACTCCTTGTCTACCCAATCAGAAAACACTATGCAAATAAAAGTAAAGGTAAGTAATTTTGTATTGGCTGAGCAATGTTCTGGTGGGCTAGAAATAATTCCAGTTGTTTCAGTGTTTTGCCAGTTATAGTTTTAGTCTCATGACAATGTATAAAAAATACCAAACCCACTCATTTTCTTCCTATCTGAAATACAGGGTATAGAGTGCTATGTTTTAAGTCGTACCTTCTCAAACTGCCTCTTTGAAATGCTTTGGGAACACTCAGGTAGTTACATATATTTTATTCCCCATCCTTGGGCTGACCTCCCATTTTATCTTTTCCCTGAACATTGGAGTCTCCAGTCAGAAGGAGGGTCTCCATGCATAGTGGGGAGATAGGTGATAGGAGACTGAGGCCCACTGTAAATACGTAGCGTGTAGATAATAGCTGCAAAGCTGTTGTCAGAGCCCAGGAAACACAAACCGAAAATAATTACCCCTCACCCCTAACCATCTCTTTTTACCATTTCAATTTAAGGCAAAAGTCCTGAGCCTAACAAATTGGGGGAATCAAGGACTGAGTAAACAGCCTCAGTTTTGAAGCTGTTGGTAGGGATGGTGTCAGCAGGGCGTCATTGGACCACATTCTAAAAATTTGCTGAAGGGGTGGGTTATTTTCCCATATGTAATGGGACACAAACTTGGGAAAGAGTAGTGAGTAATGCTACTCTGGTTAAGGAAACACTCTTTTTGGGCTGTAGAGTTCTGTTGAGTAGGTGGCCAAGGGTGATGGCTGTAGGCTGTCATTCAGAGAAAGTGAAGTCTAATCACTTCCCTGCTTATGATGGAAATGAGCCTCCATCTCCCGACACTACTGGCTGAGATGAGGAGCATGGAGAAGACATATGTGGTGGCAGCCCAGTCTTGACTCCTAAATCTAAGGACGTGTTTACCTCTTTCTTTAGCCAGCTGTGATGAACACAGAGTGACTCAGCTCGGGTGAGAATACTCATCAGTCCAAAAAGAAAGTCAAGACAGATTTTCAGGAGAATCCGCACATGGCCTGTCAGCTGAGGACTCATTGACAATGAATGTCTTTAAAGTGAAAGATTGTGAAGGAATGAATTTGCAAGTGTAGAGAAGTTTGGATTGCTTGCCAAGCTAGTTGTATACTCCTACCCCTGGGGCCACTTGTCTTCTCTCCAGTCTTGCGGTGGGCACTGCCAACTTTGATTCTCTGTGTCTCCCCCCATCCTCAACATTCATTGGTGCCTAACAGGTCTCCCCTTTGACAAGCTTTTCTCTTCTGCTACTGCTAAATACTGGCTCAAGAAAGCATGTGCCCCTTTCCTATTCTAATGACTCATTTTCCAGCAGCCCCCTAAACTGACACTCTTTTTAAAGGTTCCCTGTTCTGTTTCATGCCTCTCTACCTCAGTCCAAACTGCTGCTTATAAAAGCTATCTGTTGTCATCCCAAACCCCTTTTCGTGGGCATGCATTAGGAAATGGGTCCTATTTGGTTGACATTATTTATGGAGCTTCTTGCTTTATTTAGACCTCTGTACTCTCTCCTATTCTAGGACCAAAATGTGCCTTTGGAAAGACAATAAAAGTAGGTAGGGAAAGGCATATGAGAACGAAAAGGCTTTGGACCTAGAGTATAAACTGGCTGCTTGCTTGAGGTTATTAACCAGGGACATGAGACTAGGAAGTGAGATGGAGGCAAGGGTAACACTGAATTAAGCTCAGTGCCATGAGGAAGTATTAGCACAAGTTGGTAGCATCTCACCTAGGAAGAACAGCATAGTAGATAGCAGGAACTGGACTATACTACATACTTAGTATTTCCCGGTGCCCTGGAAGTCTGTGTAGCAGAGAGGGAAACTGAGGCATGGTAAGGTAAAGTGACTCATCCAAGGCCCCTGACAAAGCTATGCATGGGATCCCCAAAGCTTAATTTCTAGTCTACTAAGCTAAATCTTATCCTGCTGACTTGTGTTAGTTTTACCTTTTGGAAAATGGGTTTTACTTTTAAACAAGAACCCTTTGGGACAGAGTTTCACAGCTGATAACTAACATCTAGAAAAGTAGCCAGAAGAGAAATAGAAAGGCATTGTGGCACAGTGGAAAGAGCCCTGGCCTGTAGACCTGGGTTTTAGTCTTGACTCTTCCACTAGCTATGTGACTTGGGACTTTATCTCCCGGAGTCTTAGTTTCCCAATCTATAGAATGAAGAATTTTAATTATATGATTTCCAAGTTCTCTTCTAAGTCTATAACCCCATGATTTTAATGGCATGGGGACCAGTGATTTCTCCCTTCATTTAATCTGAAATGAGATACGGACAGAAAAAAGGAAAACAAGAAGCTAGTGACATGATTTCAGGGGAGTCCCTATGCTTCTCCAGAAACCTGAAGGTTGTCTTTATTTTTAATGAATGCTCTACTTCCTTACTCTTTATTCTCTTTTTCAATTTCTAGTCAATTTTTATTTTGCACATTTTTTACAGATATCTTGGATAGTAAAATAGTCACACTGTGGATGGGGGCAAGGGGCAGGATGAAAATGAATTAATGAAAGCTCTTCTCTTTACAGGAAACATGGCAACACGCTCACATGAAAACATACACACAGAAACACACAGGCTAGAAAGCGTCTGCAGTTGACCTCTAAAAGAAAAGGAAAAGCTTAGTTGGAAGGAGAAAAAGGGGGAAATGGGAGAAAAAGAGGAGAAGGGAGCATAGAGCATCTGAAGATGCAGCACCCAGTCCTTTGGGACTAAATAACTTAGCTGAAATTCACCAAGGTCACTTTCTGCCGAACACATAGCAGGATGTTTTTTGAGACTCTGTGTTCAATTTTTACTGAAGTTCCCATCTTGGTTATCGATACTAAACAACTAAACTACCAGGAGGGAAAGAGTTCCCCTGTTTTCAGTTGAGTTTTACCACCTAGGCATCCCTCCACATGATAGTAAAGTAATGCCATTATACTGGCCCCCCAATGCTGTTACAAAGCAGAGAGTCGGAGGCTCATATTTCTTAAGCACACCAGTGTACTACTTCTGGAGGGAGCTACACTCTGAATTTACCACAGTAAATATACTTTCCCCAAAGCTGCCGTGGACTCCCTGTGAAGATCCTGTCTCCTCCAGCATGTAATTCTCCACATCACACAAACCCACCTGCTGGAAGTCCCCCTTACAGTTCAAAACTGAAGGTATGACTCCTTGAAACATATGCCTTCTTAAGGATGAAATAGGAATTAAATAAAATTATCTAGAATATTGTTTTTTTCCTCGCATGTGCAGCAAACTGGGAAGGATTGGGGAGAAGAGAGGTGAATACAGAATGGACACTATGTGGTTCTGTTAATAGCTAATTGTTCCAGCTCGTATATGCTAATTGCCCCATATGGTCAGCTCTATTCTACCATCTCTGGGGACAAATAAGAGGAAAGTTACTCAAATTGACCTATGCAGGCTTGGCATTAGAAATAAGGGAAAAAACTCTGGAGGGAGTGACTGAAGGTTATGGAATCTCCTTCTCTGGAGGGATTAAAAATAGAATAGATTTTTCTCTGCCCAGAATACTTGTATAGTTTTCACTGAAACTACAAGATGGGAGTACCTGCCAGGAAAGGATTCAATTTCAGATTTAGATTCAAGGTCCCTTGTAAATTCTTATATTATGAGAGAGATAGTTAGTATAGTGAAGGGGATAGAAGCTCAACCTCAAAATCATGAAGATCAAGGTTCAAGTACTACTATTGATAAATAGGGGCTATATGACCCTGGGTGCATCACTTATCCCCTCAGTGCCCCCAAGCAACTCTAATATAATTTGTCAAGGAGGTGCTGACCTGAATTCACAGAGGGAGTTTCCTCATCTGTCAGTTCCCAAGATCACTGGAATCATAGGGATTTAGTAGGGCTTTGCAATAACTACAGGGGAAGAGTGATGACATGAGATTTTCCTGTCTCAGGATGAATGGAACAATGCATCATTGGGATGACACTTTATATTTGCAAGTTGATTTACTCTCATTTTTCCTTCTCTGTCATCCCTGCAATACCATGAGCTAAAATGGAATTTTATCCCTGTTTTAGAGATAAGGAAGTTTAAAGACAGAAAGGGGAGAATAAGCCAGCCAAAGTTCAAGTATATATTCCCTATGTTGTTTAATTATTGGGTCACTCTGACCTTAGTGCCTTTACATCTATAATTAGATTAAGATGCCACCAAAAAAAAAATCCAGAAGAAGGTTCATAAAGCTTTCTTCCAGTTGTATCACTGACAGATACTGAACCTCTTGGTGTCTCAATCACCATTTGTCTGTGGTTAAGCTTGCTCATTTGATTCAAGGACTATGCTAATGATGCCAAAATTATAGGAAAGAACAGTATCAAAGGATCTAAGACTGGTAGGACTGACTTCATCAAGTCTGACTCTCTCATTTTACAGATGAGGAAACCAAGGCTCAGAGAGGATAAATGATTTGGCCAAGGTCACACAGTTAAATAAGCAGAAGAGAGAAGATTTGTGCCCAAGTTCTCTGTCTCCAAATATGGGGCTCTCTTTTTACAAACTGCTTTACAGTGGGTTTCATTGCTGCATGGACCAGTTAGCTTTCCTTTATTCCATAATTATAGAATATGTCCTTAACTTGGGCTCTAACCTAGAATGTGTTACTGATAGGGTCAGGGAATATAGAGTGATTTCAGGAATTTAGGGTCAGAATAGACCTTAGGGGTTTTTGGTTCAGCACTCTAATTTCACACGAGGAAACTAGAGCCTGGAGAAGACCAGTACAAATCATACGTATTATTAGAAAAAAAAATAATTAAAAAAACCAAGAAGTTAGTGGTGACATCTACAAAAAGCAACCTGCAGAAATTGATTCATTATCTATCTTGTAGGGAAGTTAACATGGAGCCATCATCAAGGTGACTTAAGTGATGATGTCAAAGAACAGTCTTGTAGACTCTGGGGTATCCAGGGAGACATTATAAGGTACGACAAGAACACTGGGTTAAGTGTGGAGAGAAACGTGGGTTCGAAACCTGAATGACTGGGATTCAGTTTCCTCATTCATAAAATTAGGGAGCTGGACTACATGATCTCTAAGGTGTCTTCCAGACCTGGTGTTTTATAATCCTACTAATCTATTCATACAGCATTACCTTTTAAAAATACATATAGTTCTCTTATAAGATAATTTTAGAGTTTATGCCTCTTGACTATGCTCTAGATTAGGTTTTGTTATGTAGAGAATAACATGGCCGGCCCTACCTAGACAAAATTGTTAAATCTCGTATAGGTCGGCTTGCTCTGTGTCTCTTCTTGTCCAAATCTGCTCTCAGATTCCTGTTTGTACTAAGGTATAACTGACTGATAACAGCTTAATGAACTAACCAGTGAAACTTGGGGCACCCATAAATAGGAAAGATCATTCAAGGTTAGGAACCTTTCTGAAGTTCCTGAAAGCCCATTTCTCAGGTGGTAAACTGTTCCATCTTCTAATAAGGTGGGTCCTGTTGCAAAGTCTCCTTAGATTTCAAACCCTTTCCTCCTGCTGCTGCTGCCATGTACCCATATAGCAATCAGAAATTTTTTCAGATGAGCACATCTCTGGGTTGCTCATCCCAGACAAAACTGAATAAAAATAGCCAGCCTTCTCTAACCATCTGTGTGCTTTGTCTAGAGTTAGGTATTCTAAGTGACTCCTTTGGGGACAAATGTGAACTATCTCTGATATGCCACAACTGGAAAAAAATACCCTGAAACACAACAACTCTCCTTTCTTCTTGTACTTGGTTTCTTCTAAACTTTTCATTGCTTCTCTCTGTCCATTGCCTTCCTTCCTTTATATGTGACATTCAGGAGACCATCAGATACCTTCTAGAGAACTAATTCCCTGTAGATTCTCTGAAGTGGAAGGAGTTCTCTAAGAACTTTTGGGGGAAGAGGGAGGGAGGCAAAAATAATGCCATCATTAGGAATAGAAAGAAATTATTTTCTTGCCTTCTGCTTTCAATATGTATTCAACTGGGACAAAGCATGACCATATTTTAAAGCAAACACACTGAAATATGTGTATCTAAAATGAGTGCTCTCCCCTTCAAAACGTATTTGGGAGCCCATACATTTACTCCAGTGGAGAGGAAGTATGAAGGAGGATAGGGTATTGGGATTAGAATCATCTGGGTTCAAAAGAATTTAAATTTCTGGTCTACTTGTTTAAAATTATTCATCTTACTTTATAGTCATATCTCCCATATTACCTGGATGAGAAAGAAGCATTCCATTTGGGAAGATCGTGGAAGGTATGGATCAGCTATTCCAATCTGTATTATTATCCCTTCTCAGTCTCAATGCCAGCCCTTGATGGTGAAGGCTTTTGTATGACCACTGAGACACCTGAGTCCATGGACCCATGGGAATTTTTATGGAAATGCAATTTCACCTTGGCTTCCATTCAGTCTGCCATTTAATAGCTAGATGCCCACGGGTAACTCACTTAGCCATTCTGTGGCCCCTCAGGCACAGGAAGTGGGAGTCATGGTATTGACACTGATTCCAATAATGCTCTCATTATTTACAAACAGTTCTGGGAGTCCTTTGGAATAACTTACAAGTACACACAAAATTAGTCCCCTTGCCTTTAGAGCTATACTTTGTTTTGGATCTGTCCTGTCTTTACCCAGTTTGATCACCTAACTCATTCACCTGACTTGACTGTAAATTACTTTTTGCAGCTTCTTTAAAAAAATAATCTACATTCTCAAAGGATGAATGAAGATTTGCCACTATCTGGGAATACCAAAAAAAAATGTATCACAGGCTCCTAAAAACCATTCCAAAGAAGGCATTCTAGAATGCTTTAAGCAGTGGTACTATCGCTGGGGCTAGGTCCTATAGCCTCCTAGGGCTATCATTTTGAACAGGATAGCACTCATTTGGATTTTTAAATTTCTGGTCAATTAGTTTAAAAATATTCATCATGTTTTATAGTCACAACCCCCATATTACCTAGACGAGAAAGAGGCATTCCAGCTGAGGGGAGTATGGAAGGTATGGATCAACTATTCCACTCTGTACCATAATCACCTCAATTTCATCACCAGACTTTGATGATAAAGCCTTCTGTATGACCATTGAGACACCTAAGTATGGGACTTAGATCCCATGGGAATTTCTATGGAAATGCAATTTCACCTTGGCTTCCAAAACAAACCAAGAAGTATATCAGGATTTTCAGAAGAGGATGACCTACTTGACTTCCTTTACTCCTCTCCCTTAAGAGATCTGAAAATCTTCTAATTACTGGACAACTCATTTGTAGGAAAAGACTGTAAATCTACCCATTCCTGAGAGAAGCAATTGATTCTACCATCCTGAATTCAACTTAAGAGTATCACACCCAAGAATTAAATACAACATCCGGACTGTTATGTGTGGGCTTTTAGTTTCAGGTCTCTGGACCATAATGTATATACTTACTAAAAATTAGTTTATATATGAAAGTGGCCTCTTCCCAAAATAGATGGTTAGAAAAGTCAAGACAAACTTTTTTTTTTTTGCCAGCATCTCCCACAATCTTGGGATGAGTATGCTCAAATGACAGATTGCAATTTGTGGCAGATAAAATATCTGGTAAAGAAAAGATTAGTCTTCATTTGCAATAATCCCTCAGCAGGGCCATCTGCAGCATTTGGGTAATTAATGGGTGCCCCCGAAATAGTTCTGGGGACAAATAAAATGTAGGTAACTGGGGTGATAGTAATAGGAGGCTTCCAGCTGGGGCTGGGTACCCCAAATAGGGATAATGCCCCATGAAAGCCCCTGTATGGTAATGACCTTTGTCCTAGGATTTATATTGACATTCAAAAAACTGAAACAGTAACACTTGTCAGGTGAATTGGAGATTTGGTAGGGCTGGGCCAAGAGATAGGCACATTTTATTTCTGGTAGATTGTTTTCCTTTAAAAAGTCAGTGTGGTGTTGGGTGAGGGCAACAAATGGAATTGTCTCATTGTTTCTAAGGGGATACATTGGCTTCCTAAGGACGGCTCAATAAATGATTAATAACTGATCCTAATGGGAAATACCATGCACAGGCTAGAATTAGGGACAGATTGGGGGAAGCAAATTGGGAAGGGAAACTTTTCCTACCAAAACTGGGAAAGGAACGGTAAGGAAGAAATAGGGTCAAAACAATCAAAATAGCTCCTTTAATCCCCTTACAAGGGAATGTTGTCAGAAAAATTCTAGGAAGGCTGGGAAGAGGAGTTAAAGGGGTCCCTATACTGTACCAGCATTTCATAGTATACAAACTGAGATGTACTTCATGTTCATTCAAAGTCACACAACTGCAAAGGATTTGAGGGCTCTACTTTACCTGTGAGGACTTTGGGGAGGACATTGACCCCAAATCTCCTTGGGAGGCTAGGGTCTTAGATTGGGAATTTGGAGGAGAGAGAGTCTAGTCCCAAGATGTCTTTCAAAATGTATACTAATCTGACTAGGTTTGAGATTGTCCTTACAAATCCCAAAGATACAAGTGACTGGCCTAATTGTGGACATTTCCGTATGAAGAACTGCAGTGTTTAGTTCAGCTGGCTGGAGCTTGGTCATTTAATTCCCCTGTGGGCCAGCTACATTTGCTGTGTTCCATGACAACAGACTTCTTTTCTAGTCCTAGCCAGCTGTAAGCATGCTGTCCCAAGCAGATTCAGGTAAGAGAGACATCGGATGAATCAGGACAAATCTATCCCCATGTCCGAAAAAGCAACTCAATATACACAGCTTGCTGGCTGGAGGTCAGAGGTAGCCTTATCTATATAGGACTGCATCAGTGGAGAGAACTAACCAGAAGATTCTGATTCCCTGGTCTCTAGGAACCCATGATACATTTGAGAAGTATTCAAGTCTTGAAAAGTCTAAAGCTTAGGGACTAAGGTAAAATTAAAAACGAAACAAAACATTCCAACACCCCAGTCTTCCACCAGCCTCCAGAAAGCATTTTAATAAGTTGGAAAAGCTATTAATGGTAGTATAGAATAAATAAGAAGGGAAAAACAATGGTGTATCTAGGGGCCAGAACCCAAAGGTTTGGTGACTTAAAAAAAATGCAATGAATTACCTGTGCCAAGTTGCCACCATCTGGAAAATTTCTACTTACTCAAGGAATTGGAGTTTGGCTTCAGAAACTCTTTAGGCACAGGCAAACCTCCTTCCCCAAAGGAAGGCTTCCAAGCATGGCCATTTGCCCACAAACTCAGACCAACATTTCTTCCCCAAGACGGGAATGAAGGCAAAATGGCTCTCAATCTGAGATACGTCTCTTCACTCCTCCTCATGCCCAAAGAGGCATTTATGCCTTTCCCCCTAGGAGGAAATCATACTTTTCAAAGTAAAAAAAAAGGATAAGAACCTTTCCCTATAGTTCTAAAAACTGCAGGTTTTCCTGATAGCTGTTTCTCTTTCCTGTAGAATAAATCCACCATTTAAAAAATAATTCTTATTCTGGTTATATGCTAGTAACAGTCACGGTTATATGCAGACACCTCTCCCCATTCCCCCATAGTCATATAACTACAAAGACCCCCTTTATATATGCTGACATCAGTCCCCAGTCACTTAACCTCTCTTGGCCTCAGTTTCCTCACCTGTAAAATGAGGAGGTTGGAGTAGATGATTTCTGGGATCCCTTCCAGCTGTACCTCTATGATCGTAATTTTGAGAAGCCTTGCCGGACACACTCACATACATACATACATACATACTCCACATACATAGATACGTACATTCAGGTGTACACTCTCACAGACCAACAGATGCACACCAGGACACCACACAGTTAACCTCACACACACACACGTGTTCAAAAAAAATAGCTTGTTTTGAGAGCGGTGAGAGGATATGTGACTTAGTGGGTAAGGGTGGGGGGGTGGATTGGGTGAACAGTCAGGAAGCTGAGAGAAGGTAAAAGCTGACAGGGGAGTAGGTAGGTGAATAAGGGAATATAAATGGATACAGGAGAGGCTTATTGGTTAGCAAGTGATCCACAGCATATTGATTTATCAATACATCACATTTTATACAGATTTGCTATTTACCTCATACTTGCTATGTAGTGACCCCATCTCAGGGCTTCTCTCATTTATCTCATGGTCGTCCAATAGCATAGCACAGCATAGCACTCTATACATGGTGGGCTCTGGGAAGTGCTCTTTTCCTACTCTCTTTGGCAGACTCCTAATCTCCTGGCTTTGTGCCTGCCTTGTTCACTTCCTGGCTCCTCCAGCTACCTCACTGTCAATCTGCTCAAATCAATTCCAAGACACGGTGGTGGATTTATCCTTCTTCCACTTGGGCGTCAGCAGCCAAGTCAGCTGCTCTGGGATTCACGACCTTGAAGATTGGAAAGAAAAGGAAGAAGAGGAAGAGAGGAAGACGGAGGGAGGAAAAGACGGAAAGAGTAAAAAGTTCCTGGTTGACTTACAACAATATCATACAAACTTGAGCCCGTGGAAAACTGATTCTCTTTCTCTGCATGTAACCTATCTTCTTTCATCTTTTCAGAGACTGAACTGGTACAGAAGGAAGACATACTGATGAAACAGGAGTTACCATTGATAGGGAGTAGAAAGATCTTGTTTAGCATACATCAACCAAAAGCACCATTCTTTCTCCCCCCAAAGCTTTGTTCCCCTTTCTCCTTCTGTAATGGCTTTTTACCCAGCTTTGTCTTGAACTTCCAAAATTAAGAGGACTACTCCCATATAGTCCCCAGTAATGTGCAGAACCATAGAGTCCCCTATCTGAATGGTTCTCTTGATTCTGCCATCTGGAATTTTGAGCTGTTTTTAAAATAACAGAAAAACTAAAATCAATTGATAACACCTCAGTAATACACACATGCACACATTCTCTCTCTCTCTCTCTCTCTCTCTCTCTCTCTCTCTCTCTCTCACACACACACACACACACACACACACACACACACACACCTCCGATAATCTACAGTTGCAGAATTGGCACCCATACAAGCTCACCTCCTCTCTACTTTTTCCAGACCCTTGTGCCTGGGCCAAGATATCAGCACAATTTATAGACAACAGTCATATTGCAGTATTTCAGTTGGAAAAGAAAAAAAAACCATCAGAAAAGTTATACACACACATGTATCACAGCATTTCTCAAAGGCCCCTGCCTGCCCAGAATATGGGGGTGGGGGCAGGGCAGCCTCTGTTTAACCTGGATGTAAGGCAGCTGGAAGATTAGACTGGGTTGTTTGAGCATCCACAGAAGCGTCCTCGAATTGATGCAAATGTCATCTCTCAGGGTCGTTGGTCTCTTCCCCCTTCCCCTCCCCTCTTTTGTTCATCCAAAAGTTTGGCAAGCAAAGAGAAAGCTTCCAGCTCAGTTTGTTTTCTCTTCCAATTCTTGTGTGGAGCTGGTGGGGCAGTTGGGGAAGACGATCAGGAGCATTGGGAGAAGAGATGGTTTTGAAAATGGCCTCGAAGAGTTGGTTACATTCTACAGGTGAACTAAGGGTTTTGTTTCTTCTAATTAATATTGGTGGGTGGTGGGTTCTTCTCGTGTTGGTCCAATTGATGGCCTGTATTTCCTACTTCCTGTGCTACTTCAAACATTTGCTACTGTCCCTTCCCAGCTCACCAACCCATCCTCACTAGTAACAGTAAGTGTGATTCAACTGCAAGTGAGCATGTTCACTCAACCTTCAAAAAATCATGAAGCCATAGGTTAAGAATTGATGGAAGAGCTGTATGACAACAAAGTTTTCCCCATCTTAGTGAGAAAGGATGAAGCAACACAAAGTTCTGTGAAGACATGGGTGCCTGAGCCAACTCAATGCTCTCTTGGCACTGGCACCATCTTGCTTTAGTTTCTGTTTTATATATGTATATTATATATATATATATATTTATATATATATATGGGGGGGTTGTTTTTGTTTTTTAGCACACTGTCCCATTTTCAGGTCTGGTTTTGGGGCAGTTGGTCCTGGGGACAGGTTGGACAGAAGGGGCCAAGGTGCAGAAGAAGCCCGAGATAAGCGTGAGGCCCAGGCCTCCCCACGCACAGAACATGGACCATCCATAGCCATGACTAATATCATCAGGTAGTCCATACAGGTAGCGTGGGTAGCGTGATAGCTCGAAGTTGATCCCGGCCACACAGGTGCACAGTGAAATGATGCAGAAGGTTCCTAGAGGATAAGGTGGGGTGGGATTAGGGATAAGGAAAGGAGAAGGGAAGGAAAGGAAAAAGAAGGGGAGGGAAGGAGAAAGAAAGAAAGAAAGAGGTGAATGTTACCAAGTGTTTTGGGGTTTTTTATTTTTGTAACTTTCTCAGGTAGAAAAAGATACTGTGAAATGTCTGTCAACAAGAGCAGTGACTGGAAATTTTTCCCAAGGAGGAGAAGGAGATTGTGGACTACCACTCCCACTCTCATCCACTCTCCCCTCAAGCAGAGACAGACTCAGAAACTATACCTTGGTGAAAACCCAAAGGAAGTTACACTTCATCAGGGTGTAAGGTAAGATGGAGTGAGGCAAAACAACATCCTTTTTCTGTTTTGGAGTATTTGCCGTTTCCATATATCACTGCTTGTAGAGAAGATGAAACGACTCAGTAAGTCCATCTGCTCTGTGTTCCCCATTTGGGAAACCATTTCCATACTTTTCCCTGTTCCTGTACACATCAAGTCCTACATTTTATTGTGCTTATCTTCCAACCAATCTCCAAAAAGCTGTCTCTAACTCAAGAGTTCTCCTCTATATGGCAATAAGGTATCAGCTTCTGTCACTATAAATGTGTTTTTTGTGAAGTTCTTTTAATATACTAATACATAGGGACATTTTATGGAGGCTGAGACCAGTTACCAGAATTAGATCATTTGGATCAGAGATGTTTCTTGCAGTTTTCACAAGTTAACATTAATTATTTCCAAAAGGTACAGTGGCTGGAAAGGTACCTTAAGCCACACAACCTAAGTGATTATGGTCACACACCTACTGACACGCTCACATTTTTTCTGTCTCTTGTAAAGCAAACTACCACAGCATATGAATACATGGTGGGTGTGATTTTTACCAACTAAGAATGGACTTGTTTACCTCTCATAGGGCATTCATATCTTGGCTGTGAAGAACCCAAGATGCTGACATCTCTGATTCCAGAGAACCATGGTAGCTTAAGGAATCATGATACCAGGCACTTGATGCCAAGAGTGGATAGATAGGAGAAAGATGAGAGTTTGGATAATGTGTGTGTGTGTGTGTGTGTGTGTGTGTGTGTGTGTTTGTATGGTGAGGGGGTAGTAAGGGAAAGAGATGTATTATATTTTCTATTTGTAATGAAACTTGTCATTTCCCTACAGTTCAATTTTTCTAGGCCCAATACAATTTATTTCATGTATCAAGTAGGTGAGTTTATTCAAAATCGCGTACTTGTATTAAGAGCAAACATAAATACTGAGAGTAGAGATTCTTGAAAAAAGACTAAGAAAGGGACGGATCTTGGTACTATATATATGAGCTAAACAAGGAGAAATTGTAGAGGGACATGATAGAAAATGGTGATTTTTCGGAGCAAATGTATTTTCACAGTGTTTTTAAATGGAAAAAGTGATCTGTTATAATAGCGTATGCTGGGCCCACTGCCTTGAGTTGTTCATTAATCATTTCGTTAGCATTTGCTTTCTCTCCCTAACAAAACTAAGTTCTTGAGTCTGGGGATCACGTATTATATTTCCATATCTTCCATAGAGCTAGCATAGCGTTGGGTATAGCAAGCACACCTACCATAAACACTGGTTTAATCTATTCTTTTGCTTTCTTTTCTGTCATTGCATGACACTGACGTTCTTAACCTTGTCCCCTTTCCTTGGATGCCTGTCAAATACCTCATAAGACTGAATATGCAACATCCCAGCTAAGGCTGTCCTTTAGAGAGTGATAGAAAGTGATAGAAAGACACGGCTTCAGTCGTCTCCCTACCAAAAGACATACATCACATACTTGGATGGGAAATACCACCTTCTGAGTTCCAGAGGGTTCAAATGCCCATTCTCATGACTTTTTTTTTGGGGGCTAGGCAGTGAGGGTAAGTGACTTGCCCAGGGTCACACAGCTAGTGTTATGTGTCTGAGGCCAGATTTGAACTCAGGTCCTCCTGAATCCAGGGCCAGTGCTCTATCCACTATGCCACCTAGCTGCCCCAAATGCCTATTCTCAAGCTAAAAATTTTGTAGGCCATCTTGGTGACTGTGAAATTTCTTTCTGGAAAGTGCAACTTATCTGTTCTAACTTTCAACCTATTTATCTCTCTTTTCCTCCTTCCCTAATCTTATTCTTATTCCTCCCCTTTCTTTTTCAAACATTAATTGAATGCTTATGACATTCAAAAAACTGTGATAGACTCTCTGGAAGATATAAATATAAATATGACATGGCTCCTGACCCACTGATGCTAACAAGTAAATTAGATAATGTATGTACTGTATTTTGAGAACCTTAAAGCACTATGTAACTATCAGCTATTATTATCATCATGACTACAATTGTAGTAAAGCTTGACTTCCCCCAAATGCAAGTGTCTCCTTTTGCTTAAGTTTTCTTGTATTTATTTTAAATACACTTAGAATGTGCCTGCTGTTTCCTCAAGAAAATATAAGTTCCTTTAGAGCAGGATTCAGTTCATTTGTGTCTTGAAATCCCTGGGTCTATCTGAGTCCCTGGCACATAGTATGTGCTTAAAAAAGGCTTGTTGATTGATGGAGGCAGAGCGGTGTACTTCAAAGAGGGAGAAGAGAACCAGGGTTGAATCATGGCTCACTTATTGTGTGACCTTGGAAGAGTTAGGACCTCTGGACCCTCGCTTTCCCCATATGCAAAATGAAGAGATTCAAGAGATAATTTCTAAAGCCCTTTGAGATAATTAACATAAAGCACAATATAAACACCAGCTACTAATTTATCTGCCTTTTTTCTTTTCTGTTTTCATCTAAAACTAAATACATCCAAAAGAGAACTCATTTCCTCCCTTGTCAATCCTACTCCCTGGCTGAACTTTTTTTTTTTTTGGTGAGGCAATTGGGGTTAAGTGACTTGTCCAGGGTCACACAGCTAGTAAGTGTCAAGTGTCTGAGACCAGATTTGAACTCAGGACCTCCTGACTCCAAGGCCAGAACTCTATCCACTGTGTCACCTAGCTGCCCCATTGAACTTCTCTCTCACTGTCAAACAGCAGCACCGACCTCCCAGTCACTCAAATTGGAAACTTTAATTTTGTCTTTGGTTCCTCACTTTCGCTCACTGCATATATTCCACCAGTTGTCAGGGCTTGTCATTGAGACTTCCCCATGGACTATTGCCCTGGCCTTCTAACTGGTCTCTCTGCTTCGCGTCCCTCCCCATATCAACCTATCCTCTAAATAGCTGTTAAAAGTCATTTGTCTATGGCACCAGTCTGTTCAGGACATCTGCCTCCGTAAACTCCAGTGGTCTCTTACTATCTGTAGCATCAAATATAAACTCCTTTGGCACTGGAAGCTCCCACACCCTGGTCACTTCCTGCCGTTTGAGTCATCTTACACATTATGCCCCTTGACAAGTTGTACGGTCCAGCTATACTGCCCAACTTGCAGTTCCTCACACATAACACCTCATCTATTACCTCTGTGCCTTTACATTGAGTGCCCCCCATGCCTGGCTTGCTCTCTTTCTTCACCTCCACCTCTTAGAATCCTTGGCTTCCTTTAAGACCCAACTCAAATGCCATCCTCTGCATGAGACCTCTCCTGATTTGTCTCCTCCCCCCAACTGCTAGTGCTGTCCCCTTTAAGGTTACCTCTCACCTTCTCTGAATCTATCCTGTGTACGCCTATTTATATACATGTTGCCTCCCCCACAAGAGTGTAGGCTCCTTGAGGCAGCAACCGTGTTCGCTTTTTCTTGGTATCCTCCCTGTTTAGCACAATGTCTGACACGTTGCAGACTCTTAATAATGCTTGCTGATTGTTTCCTTCCCGACATGTTCATGACCCAAGCATTGGGTCACCACTGTAGACATGTTACCATCGTAGATGTGATCTTTACTTACAAAACCACAAGATAGAGCTCGTTTGGGGATGATGTCTTGCTTTAAAGAATAAGGCCCTGATAATTATGATATTGGTGGGTAAGGAGGATAAAGAGATTCATTTCTAATTTTCCTGGCGTCATCCCAGATGAGATGTTTATAATGCTCATTCACAGAAAATGATTAACAATTTGTGCGAGCCAATTTGGCTGACCAAAGGGAGCTAATGAAAGGTGCTTCCTTTTATGCCTTCTTGGAAAAAAGGGGCCCAAGAAGAGATAAGGTAAAAGTGGGGAAAGGGAGAGTGATAGGGAAAGAAATGCCAAATGGGTTAGGGCAGAAAATGAGGAGGGAAAAGTACATAAGAGATGCTGGGGGATGCTCTTGTAAATCATATGCTCTTATTTCCTTCTTGCTCAAGGATGGCTGGATCTATATATGGATATGGATAGATGGTAGATAAGGACTCAATAATACTTGTGTTATATCCACGCCATCTTTCTTGGGATGAATGTTATGTTAGGGTGAATCCAAGTCCAGAAAGATGACAGAAACTGAAACCTGAGACATGCTGGGAATAAGATTTTTTGCTCTCAGAAACCACATACATTTTAATAACATTGAACAAAGGACCATATAAAAGGGAAAACAAAGATAATGTGTGGTAAACCCTTTCCCCACCTTTGGAATGAGAGCTAGGTACGGTGAATAGACATGACATAGAGACAGGAGATGTAGATTTGAATAATACCCCAGATACTTTCTAGCTTCATGCTCATGAGTAAGTCACTTAACTTCTTGAATAGCACTATGTAAGTTTGGATAGGCCTTACTAAATTTTGTGAATTTGGAAGTCATCACAAAAACAGGAGGTGGTCAAATCAGCAATACTCAGGTTCTAGAGATGTGGGTCTAAAGTCATGATACTAATCAAGTTCACAGGGGCCCTTGCGATGATTCATTTCTTAGGCTTCCCATTTTGGAAAGGAGAATCAAATAGCTAATGGGCCCCTGGGAAACTTTTAGATCTGATTCATGGGCCAAACTAGCCTGGGAAAATCAATAAGTTAGGAGTTAGGAGTAGTCACTACAGGCAACTGACAGGCCAAGCTGATAGTTATATGA